GAACACTTGTATGTTAAGTTCTTGCATTATTCTTGAAGCTTCTTTGGATTTGGTGTTTTATTGTCTCATCTTTGGGCTTGATTTTACAAATGATCTTTTATATTGTTGGTTTTCAAGTGTTTTCTAGAAAATTGGCCCAAAAGGTTCAGTTTTGTTGTGTTGAATTCTTGGTTTGAGCTTTGAAGGCAAATCTGGAGATTCCAGATTTTGGCTTCCTCGCTCGAGCGAAGGATTCCACGCTCGAGGGACCACCTTTTGTTCAGAGCTCCACTCGAGCGAAGGAGTGCTGGCTCGAGCGTAGATTACAAGCTCTCAGGTTTTTGGTGCACGCAAACGCACGCTCGAGCGAAGAGACCTACGCTCAAGCGAAGAGCTGTGTCTCACGCTCAAGCGAGCATCGAGCGGGGATTTTCAACGACCAGTACTTTTGCATTTTTACAGACCGCTCAAGCGAAGGAGTTTATGCTCAAGTGACCCCTCTGTTTTGGTAAGCTCGCTCGAGCGAAGAAAGTCACGCTCGAGTGAGACCCTTGTTTTCAGCAAGTTTTGAAAAATATTTTCCAAGACATTTTTGCACGTGTTATGTAGGTCACGTGCCGCGTTCTGTCTGACTAATCTGCTCCGTCTATTTGTCTCAAGGCCAACTGTGAGTAATAATTTAGTAAAGTTATGTTCAAACTATATCTACTTTCTATGTGATAAAATAAGATCTGTTTTCCGAAATGATATGTTCTGTACAATGGATGATTGTTCAATTTTTGATATGTATTTGTGGCATCCTTAGTATCATGTGATATCTCTTGGCTGTTACCCGGTATCGGAGGTTCCTTTATGGAACTTATATCCGTCTGCACTCTGTTACCTGTACCGGAGGCCCCGTCATGGGGGCTCAGCTACTGTTCTGTTACCCGGATCCAGAGGTTCCTTTAAGGAACTAGTTACTTGTAACCCTCACGTGTCTGCCTCTGTTCTGTATCTGCTCTGTTATTGCTAATAGATGTATCACGTAAACTCAAGCATGACTTATTATTTCTGTATATGATCTGGACCAATTATGGATTTGGTACGAAACTGAATTATGATTTCTGAATCTGTACGGACTCATTCATTGAAACCCCTTTACTCTGTTATTATTCACTGGGCTTTCGCTCACAGTTTATATTATGTATGTAGGTGAGCCGACGTGTGACCAGGGCCAAAGTTGACGGCCTTCTGTTCTGTTTTTGTCAGCCAATCGTTGTGTTTCCCGAGGAGGTTCCGATCGAAGTCTAATGCCATGGCTGTTTTTGTATTCATGCTAGTCTCTATGACTGTTTTGTAAAGTCAGGTCTTGGGATGTACACTTCTGTAAATACTTTGTAAATATTGGCATCCTTTGACTGGCATGCTCATGTATATATATATAAGTTTTGAAATCTGCTGTCTCATGTACGTTACCACAGCTCATTGAACCTTGTCTATTTTATGTATTTTCTTCCGCAGCCCCTTATTATATACTTATCTGTTCAGAGGCCTTTGGTAATCCACGGATTACTGGCCGGTTACGATGCCTAACATACAGAAGCGGGTTTGGGTCGTGACACCTTTGCAAGTCATTCTTGAGCCTAAATTGAAGCTCTGGAAGTCTTCTTTCCAATGGTGGCATCCTCACTTCAAAATTCCAAATGTGAAAAAAGTTATGCCTATTTGAGTGAAAACTGCTCAGTTTCAATCCTACTCGGATTTATGCCGAACTTCTCCCAAACTTGGTTTCTTCTCTCATCTCTCATTTTCTTCAACCCCAAACCTCTAAATAGGGTGTTTTGAAAGATTTTTCAAAGAGTTCATCTCTCTTTCATTCATTTCTACTTTGTCCTTGTTCGGTTTACCGAAAAGCAAAACATTTAACAAAATGCGAGTCTCGGAACATCGTAGGAACTTTTTTAAAAATATTTTGAAAGAGAGAGTTTTAAGATCTAAAAATCATTTTAGTCAAAATGGCTTTGGTCCACAACTGGGGTGTAAGGTTGGGATTTGACTCTCTTTTTGCCAAAGAAATCGATCCTTGCACTGCACATCTTTCATCACCAAGTAAACAATCAGTAGCATCCAAATTTTAAGGGCGGTCAAAAATAGGATGTCTACAAGCACTGCTCACACCCCTGATAAAAACTATGCTTGCTTTAGTGTAACTCTATTATTTTTTTATATAACTTTAAGAGTTTATTTGTATTAATTATGGGTTGTACTTGATATTTATTATGATTGTAATCTTTTAAACTTATATGTTAACATTATTGGTTTAACTTCTCTCAAATTATCATTTTAACTTAAGAGAGCATTTGAGCTTAGTAATCTCATTTTTGAACCAATTTTGGTGATCCGGACCATTCACTCCTGATTGGTTTAACTCAATTTTTTTGAAAATTGAGTTTTTTATTTTTCGTATTTATTTTTATTTTTATTGAATTTTTTTAATATTTTACAAAAAAAATTATTTTTTAGATATACCTAATCTAGATACACTTAAAAAATATAATATTTGTGATTTCAAATTTTTTTTTTACCAAATATAAAAAAAATACCAAAATTCAATACATTTTCATATTTTTGTTGTATTCAATGAATTTTGTAAAAATTTTTGTACAAATTTTATACTTTTGAAGTACACAAAAATTAAGTAGATTTAAAAAGTAAAAAAAAAAAAAACTATTGATTAAAATATTTTAAAAAATCATTAAAAGTACAAAAATACGAATTGAAAAATCAAAAAAATAAATTTGAAAACTCCAAACCAAATAGTTTTTAAAAGATGGACAAAAAAATATAATTTCAAAAATAGTAATTCATTTTTTGTAATACAAATGTGATTCAAATATATAATTACTTGATTATTTTGATTTTTACATGAATATTCTATTAAATGAGTTCTAAAAATTAAACGATTTTGTATCACTGAAGTCGGTCTTAAAATAGATCTACCAAATTCAAATATTGTCTCAAACTAGGATGGCCAACTTGAGACGAGTCAAATTCTAATATCATATTGGTAAATGTTAAAGCGTAAATTATTAAAACATTCATCTCCAACTTTTGATAGTAGGAGAGGTCCAGTATGTTTTTTCTTATTAGTTAAGGTCTCTTAATAATATTATTAAAAAAAATTTAGCTTGTCACAGAGAAATTTTAAATTTCTTTGTGAAATTTATCTTTGAAGTAAAATTTCTCTGTGACGAACTGAAATTTTTTTAAATTAAAATTTATATGTGAAAATGTCGAGGGACCCTAATTACTATAAAAATATTTTATATTCTTTATCTTGTAAAATCTTAATATTAGCTACCTAAAACTAAAAACCCCAATGTTAAATATGTATAACATTATTTAAGATTAAGATTAAAGTAAGAATATGTTGAAAATATTCAAAAATGTTAAATGAATAAAAATATATTGAATTCAATAAAAAATGGCGCATATATTTCTTCTTTTTGGGTTGGGTTTCTTGAGAGAAGTGATATGCTTTTTAATGGATATATTATAATGACACTTTAGGTCGTGTTTTGGAAGAGTGTTTAAGATTAAGATTAAAGTAAGAATATGTTGAAAATATTCAAAAATGTTAAATGAATAAAAATATATTGAATTTAATAAAAAATGGCGCATATATTTCTTCTTTTTGGGTTGGGTTTCTTGAGAGAAGTGATATGCTTTTTAATGGATATATTATAATGACACTAGGTCGTGTTTTGGAAGAGTGTTGGCTTAAAATAATTCATTAAAAAATAAATTAAATTTAAATAATTAATAAAATAAAATATCACTTTTAAATCATAATTATTTAATTTTTTTCTCTCACAATCATCAAATCAATTATAAAAATAAAAATAAAAAACCAACTTATCAAATATAACTTTTTTAGTCAAGCTAAAATAGTCAAAAGGTCAATTAAAATAGTCAACTTTTCAAACAAGGTCTTATTGAAGTTTGCTTAAAAAATAAATTGTCCAATATGATTATGAAAATTACATCCCACCTCTTCAAATTTCTAACTACATAATAAATGATCAATTTTATTAATGAATTATCAATTTAATTAACAGTCTTTAATGATATCAGAAATATATATTAATTAACAATTTAAATAATTTTATTATTGTATGAGAGAACAGTTAAAATTTTATTTTATTTTATTAATTTTGTTAGTTTAAAAATTTTGACAAAATTTGTTTTTATAAATTTTTTAAATTATGAGTAACAATTTATATTTTAAATAAAAATGAATACATGTCATTTACCTTTTTTTAATATACCTCATAGACATTTGTCAACAAGATACTATCATATATGAATTAA